CCGAGTGAGAGCGGGAGAGGCCGTTAGCTTCTCCACCTGCTCCCGGGGGCACGCTTTCCGTGGGGCGGGGTCAGGATGTGGATCCCGGGCGGGTGGAGGGGCCGACGTGGGCAGCTGAGACCTGGAGGGCATGAGGGCTTAGGGCCACACCACCAGCCCCGGAGGAGGGAGGAGCTGACAGCACTGTCGGAGCTGGAGATGCCCGGTGTGTCCGATACAAAGTAGACGAGGGGGGATTTGAGTGTAACCTGATTCCTACTTTGGAGCGATATTTTCTTAGGAATCACGGCTGGAGCAGAGGAAGCTCCTGTCATTTGCATTTCAAAGGGGCAGAGGGCTCTCCATTGTACTCCGCCCCCAGCGCTCCCCCCACTGGCCTTGCTTCATTCAAAGAGCCCAAGAATCCCCCCGTTTCCCTTCTCGGTGGGCTCAGCAGGGGAAGCTATGACATCTCTGGGTCCTCTCCCCTCTGCAGAGACCAGGCATGCTGCCAGGCAGCCGCATGACACCTCAGGGACCTTCCATGGGACCCCCTGGCTATGGGGGGAACCCCTCAGTCCGACCTGGCCTGGCTCAGTCAGGGATGGACCAGTCCCGCAAGAGACCCGCTCCTCAGCAGGTCCAGCAGGTCCAGCAGCAGGCGGTCCAGAATCGAAACCACAAGTAAGATGACCCTGGGGGGCAGGGGGGAGGAGGAGGTGGGGGAGGGGACCTGTGAGAACTCAGGCGGTGGGAGGATCTGAACCAAGAAATGGTGGTGCTGTGTCAGCAGAATGTGCTTATTCTTGATGCCTCATGTTGTGTGTGTGTGTGTTGGGGGGGGGGGGGGGGGGGGAATGTCTTTGATTTGAGAAAAATCTTTGCAGTCCCTTCACTTTACTATAAAGGGGGTGCTGACACCCTGTCTTCATGTTCTGGTTCGTTCCATCCCAACCTGATAACAGTATTTATCTTGAACAGTGCAAAGAAAAAGAAGATGGCTGACAAAATTCTACCTCAGAGGGTGAGTCCAGGCTGTAGGTCTTCTTGAGGGTGTGGTGAGTTTGAGAATAGAGATGGTCAGCTCTCTATCCACATGATATTTTTCTGTTTCTAAGATTCGTGAACTGGTACCAGAATCCCAGGCCTATATGGATCTCTTGGCTTTTGAAAGGAAACTGGACCAGACTATCATGAGGAAGCGGCTAGATATACAGGAGGCCTTGAAACGTCCCATCAAGGTAACACAGGAGTACACTAGGCAGACAACCAAAGAGAGGACTCGGGAACCTGCAACAGGCTTAGGATGAGAAATCAAACACGCAGCACAGCCCTCCTTGGCATTTAAGTTACATCTTTCCCATCTACCTACCAACTGAGACTTACATTAGGAACATAAAAACAAAACAGCAAGAGGGGAGGGATTTTTGATACCTCTTGCACCAGAAATATACTATACCTTGTCCATGTTTTTGCTACAACTACTCTGACACCTTAGGAACTGGTACCTTGCATGACTTTAACCACCTGGCATCTCAGTATATACATTTGCACTCAGACCAATGGCCTGTACTCCTAGATGGAATCTCTGTCCACCCACCCTAGGTACTGGATAGACACTAAGCTAGTCTGTTAGGAATAATATTGGGGTTTGGGGAGACCCTGTCTTCAACATCAAACCACCGAAGCCCCACCATCAATCCTGTTTCTGCCTTCCTCAGCAAAAACGGAAGCTGCGAATTTTCATTTCTAACACTTTCAATCCGGCTAAGTCAGATGCCGAGGATGGGGAAGGGACGGTGGCTTCCTGGGAGCTTCGGGTAGAAGGACGGCTCCTGGAGGATGTGAGTTCAAGGTCCACCACGGGTCTGTGTCTAGGGTGGGAGCTGCTGGGAACAAGCAGTCTTGTCTGGTTGGCAGGAAGCCTGACTGGGGCTCACAGCGCCTGTTGGGAACAGCGGGGGAGGGGTCGCTGTGTTCCCTGTGCTAAAGACAATGGTTCTTTGTGTTGGCTCCCACAGCTTGGCCCTCACTGTGGTGTCATATCGAGAACCTTATTGTCCTGGGATTTGATTTGTTATTTACCTTCCTCCTGATGCTACTGGCCACTGAATTTAGCAGTATGTGCAGAGTACTCTGGTGTGTGTGTGTGTGTGTGTGTGTGTGTGTGTGTGTGTTTTCAAGTGAGCTTGCACTTAGAATTTGAGGCCATATTTTCCTCTCTGAGTTCTTGAGGTCTTTGATTCCCCTTGTGGCATCTCTATCTTCCCAACATTCATTGGAGACATCTCGCAGTTTAAGTGGAGCAGATTTATCTGACAGGCCCTTGATTGCTTCATGGGGAGCATCAGCTGACAGGTGATAGCCCCCAAACTTCCTACCCAGAAGCTCCTTGGGGAAGCTCACTTTTCCCTTATACTCTCTGGCTCTCTATTTTTAGCTATTCACAGGCAAGCTAATGTGAATGCACTTTTGCAGGAGAACCAGGGTTCAGTGTCAGAGCCTCCTTCTCTTTATAGATCCAGCCGTGTGCTGGTGGTGTCATTCTACCCAAATAAAGCTGTTTTTGTTCTGGCTGTTCGTTGCCTGTGATTCATTTCCCCTCTATAGTCAGACTTTTCTCTGTTTAGACTCGCTTTGTTATGTGTAATGGTTTGGCTTAACTTGACAAAGTTAAGTCAGTGACCCTATACATAATATAGGCTGCTTCTTCAGGGTTCTGTTGCTACTGTGACTTGTTTAATACTCACAGACACCTACCTTGCCATTTCCTAAGAGATACTCAAAAGACATTTTTTAAATATATATTTTTATTCCTTTCAGGGTGGGGGGGAGATGGAGAGAAGACAGAAACATCAATGATGAGAAAGAATCGTTGGTCAGCTGCCTCCTGCATGCCCCCCACTGGGGACCAGGCCTGCAACCCAGGCATGTGCCTTGACCAGGAATCAAACCATGACCTCCTGGTTCATAGTTCGACACTCAACCACTGAGCCACCCCAGCCAGGCTCAAAAGACATTTTTGAGTTTTCCCATTGCTATTTGGGTCCATTTTTTTTTATGGGACTTTGTCTCAAGGAATTTTTTCTGGGATTTTCTAACATAACCTTTTGTCTCTCTCCTTTAGTCAGCCTTGTCCAAATATGATGCCACCAAACAAAAGAGGAAGTTCTCTTCCTTTTTTAAATCCTTGGTGATCGAACTGGACAAAGACCTGTATGGGCCAGACAACCATCTGGTAGAAGTGAGTAGTTCTGCCCTCTAGACTTTGACTCTGACTGAAGGATGATGGACTTGGGAGTCAAACTTTAATGTCTAGGGGGAGGGGGAGGTATAAATAAAAAATAAAGACTTACCCCAGGGGTACAGTACCACCATTGTAGTTTGCACATTGACCTCCAGGTGGCACTAGCTGTTGCAGTCTGACTTGTCTCACCTTTTTAATGTTACTATCTTGGTTGTTCCCTCCACTTTCAAGGGAAATTCTAATGGAGGCCTCTTTTACATGCCACATGTATCTTGCTTATTAACAAGGTTGAGACATAGTTAACCATACATCATTCATACTTTTTCATGGTAGTAGATTCTCTAATTAGGGGGGCTAACTGTTAGGGTTCTGTTCTTTGCTAAGGTTACTGTTATAGATCTGGGACTTCCTTTTGATCCCTGCTCTGTTTAGATTCACATTCCAAAATTAAGAATTTGTTATTATAATGCCTGATTATGCAATGTTCTGAAAGCCATGTTAGCAACAGTATTCTTTGGGATACAGTCAAAACCAGAATGAGGCAGTCCAACATTCCAAGTGAACTTAACCTGCTCCTTTTGTTGCCAGTGTAACTGCAGCCCCTTAAC